ATACTTATCCAGGCTCAATCGGACACCCACCCCATGACAACGTGGTGGCAGGTTTTGGTTTTGTATATTTGTCAACACCGAGTAAAGATACTGATTTTAAACCCATTAGTACCATTGATAATTGTGCAGATAAAGTTGGTGAAAACTTTCAAGCCGATGTAAAACTTCCTGAAAATACTTCTTGCGAGCGTTGTACGCTTCGTTTTAGATGGATTCCAAAGTTATCCGAGGATGTTTATTTAAATTGTGCCGACATTTCTATCTTACCAGCCAACAAAAGCAAACTCAAGGCGCAAAAAAGATGCGGTCGTGGTTGTGGCGGAGCTAGCGCGAAACGCGATTTAAATTCAAATAGTAATTTCTCGAGCCGCAAAGAACTTAAACGTAATTTGAAAAAGCGTTCAGCTTAAAAAGTTATAGCAATAAATTTTTAAATATCTTCATATTGGAGGGTACTTGTTTTGTCGATTTGTCAACAACCGGAAAAGATACTGATTTTAAACCCATTAGTACCATTGATAATTGTGCAGATAAAGTTGGTGAAAACTTTCAAGCCGATGTAAAACTTCCTGAAAATACTTCTTGCGAGCGTTGTACGCTTCGTTTTAGATGGATTCCAAAGTTATCCGAGGATGTTTATTTAAATTGTGCCGACATTTCTATCTTACCAGCCAACAAAAGCAAACTCAAGGCGCAAAAAAGATGCGGTCGTGGTTGTGGCGGAGCTAGCGCGAAACGCGATTTAAATTCAAATAGTAATTTCTCGAGCCGCAAAGAACTTAAACGTAATTTGAAAAAGCGTTCAGCTTAAAAAGTTATAGCAATAAATTTTTAAATATCTTCATATAATTATTGGAAAAGATAGAATATAATTATCCGACGCAACGTATATAAATAGATATCCTTCAACCGGCTTGTAATTATACCATTACACACACGAATATAAATCAATGAAATCACACATTCATACATATATACATACATACACACTTACACATACATTTACACATATTTTATATATACACTT